CCCTCCACCCGACGGAGACCACAGCACTCTGCCACCTGAGTCTTGCTGCTGTAAGCCGTAAATCCAAGCGGGTTGGGTCAGTCAGTCTTCAGTTCTTTCACTTGTATATTCCGTTTCCCTGACAAAGTAGCCACTCTTACCATTGAGGCCTTGCTTTTATTATTTTTTCTTCTGGTTTTTCCTTTTTAAAAAATAATATTTTTATTGACATACCTTAGAAATTCCAATATATCCCTTCTCTTCCCATACAGCTCTGTTGTTCAGTCCCATCGGGGTGGGGTTATACAATCAGCAAAGCTATCAACAACCCCCCCTTTATTTCCCTCAGGGAAACCTTACTCCTGTCAGTGTCTCTGAGGGGTCAGCTATCTTGACTAACATGTATCGAGCAATCTTAAATGTACAAACGAACATACACAAATCTAACTTGACCAATGAGGTAGATCACATATAGACCATCACAGTAAGGGGAGGAAATCTTAAAGAACTAGAGGATAGTTCTGTGGTTCATCAGTGCCCCACCGCACCCTGGATTTATCCTCCTTTCCATAAGGCCCTACCTACTAAGAGGGACTGTCCAGTTGTCTTGCTGGCAGACTTTGGGTCTCCACTACATACAGTCCCCTTCATAACAATTTGCATGCGTGCTTTTTGAACTTCTGATACCTCTTCCTATCAAAACCTGATCACACAGGCTGGTGGGCTTCTTCCATGTGGGCTTTGTTGCTTCCCTGCTAGATGGCTGCTTATTTAACTCCAAACCTTTAAGACCCCAGAGGCTATAGCTTTTGGTAGCCAGGCACCATCAGCTTTCTTCACCACATTTGCTTATGCACCTATTTTGTCAGGGAGGTGGGTATCATACAGTGCCACATTAGAACAAACCATTCTTGTACAGGGGTAAGATTTGAGTTGAGGCCCAAAGTCCATCTGCTTCCTTGTTATAATTATATATATATATATATATACACACACACACACACAAAGTATACACATTTATATTTATATATATGATTTATTTTTTCCTCCTACCCCACTATTACCCTTGCCTGTCATTCACCTCTCAGTAATTCCTCTCAGATACAATTTGATTGATCAAACACACCCAGAAAAGCTACACTCTCTTCACAGTTCATTTTAGAACTCTTCTTATTCCCCTGTACCCATCATTGTTGGCTCCCTGCTCACCTCCCTCTCTCCTCCCCTCCGGTGCTCCCCAGTAGCCGTACTTTTAAATGAAAGGCCTGTGAGGCGGTTGGTAAGGCTTTGTGTGTGGTTTTGCCACGATGCCTATCTATGTTTTCACAGATGTGGCAGAACCTAGTAAGCAGAGGCAGTTAGCGTATTTGAGTTCCGACCCTTCCCACCCCCACCTGAGTTGGAGCGGGAGGCCAAGCAGAAACTGGCAGCTGGCTCCCATAGTGCAGGGGCTGGTGGGTGCCCCCCCCCCTCCCAACCTTAGACTCCAGGAACCCAGCCTGCCTTTCCCTGGGTAGGAAAGGAGCCTTCCGATCACATACTCCACAGACATAGTCTTCTGCGTCGCAAGTATTCCAGCACTTTACTTTCTAAGATAAGGATTCAATCATTTTTCTCAAGTTTTTGGAGAGATAATTTTCAAAAGAGCATGGTATTCAACAGCCCTATATCACAAAGTCCAGAGACTAAGTGGGAGGTTTATTTTGGGCTTTCATAACAGGCAGGTTTCAAAATACCAAGACAGTGTGTCAATTGTACTTCAGATTGTATTTCGTATTCCTGATAGGTCGGTGACTCTTTGCTTAGTACATTTTCCTGGGCAGGTAACGGGCATATCAGTGACTAAAGTGTATAAAGGAAGTCCACACTGTCCCTAGATTGATGTTAGTTGAAATGAGGCCATTCCTGCTCCCACTTACCTTACGGTACACACAGAGTAAAACTGTTCTAAAAGGTTTTCAAAGTTGTGACCTGTCAGAAATAGATGGTCAGGCCTGCCTTGAGGTACTGTTGGATCTTCAGCTCGTAGTAAAGTGTTTAACCCTTTGGGCCATCAGAGGTCTCCTGTCACAAGATTGTGCTTGTGTGCCATGGAGTTGCTTCTGCCTTGGAGTGACCCAGTCTGACAGATAGAATTGCCACATCTTTTTCCTGGGGAGCAGTTGACAGATTCAAGCTGCCGACCCTTTGGTTAGCAGCCAAGCACTTACCTGCGGTGCCACTAAGGCTCCTGAGGAAACAGCAGGTCCATGGAACCAGGGTCTAATGATTGTGCCACACTCTTTCACCACTGTGATGTGTGTTAGCTTGTGGGACCTGACACTGCCAGCACCTGTAGGACCCAAGACTGCGCCCAGGCAGGTGTCCTTCCTATGTGCAGTCTGTAACAGCAGCCGCCGCACCGTGAAGATGGACCGTTTCAGGCCCTTGGCAGAGAGCCCTTCTGATTCTGTTGTGCATAGGCAGCTCCTTGTTTTCACAGTAGCTCTTTATCAGATTTCTCCCCAGCTGCAGTTTCATTTTGTTTTTAAGTATTTGTTTTTCCTGTTTAGCAAAGTACCCATTCACTGGGCCTTCTGGGTGTCCTGTTTGAGGGAAAAGGACAGTTTTGCCTACAAGTCTACATCCTGATGACAAGTGGTAGACGTTTAAAGGAATAATCCCTCTGTATGTAAATTTTATGCACCTATGAAGTATGTACATTTGATGTTTCCAGTTGATCCTTTATATGGAACTGCAAAAGATTTAGAAAAGTCAAGTCAGTTTTGAAGAACTCTGGAAAATTTATCCTACCTCATTTCAAGACTGCTTGGAAAGCTATAGAATAGGAGCCCTGCTGATGATGTGGGTTTGTTCCCAATTGGGCTGCTAACCATATGGTCAGCAGTTTGAATCCACCAGCTGCCCCAAGGGAGAAAGATGTGACTTTCTGATCCCATAAAGAGCTATAGTCTTGGAAACCCACACAGGTATTCCTGTCCCACCCTAAAGGGTCACTATGAGTTGACTTGATGGCATTGAGTTGTTTGGTTCTTTTGCACTTTTCTAAAGCTGTAATGATCAAGACTGTGGTTTTGGATGAAGGATAAATATTTAGACCAATGACACAGGACAGAGAAACTAGGCCGAGAAGCAGATCATTGGGGGTTTTTGTCAGATGCCAAGATAATTTAATTAATAGTAAAAAATGTCTTCTGGTAGCAATGGTACAATACTGCTTGTTGTGATTGAACTATGGAATGTTATACCTGTAAGAGCTCCCAATAAAACTGATTAAAAAAAATGTCTTCAACTATAACAATGAAAAAACAAACTCATTGCCATCATTCATGCCATTGCTGACTCACAGCGACCCTATAGGACAGGTGGAACTCTCCCATGAGTAGAAAGCCCCATTCTGCCCCTCTCCCTCTCCCTCAAGCCTTTCTGCCAGAAGCCGGTGGTAGTTCCCAAATGCTGACCTTTTGGAGCTCAGCCCAGTTTGTAACCACTACACCACCAGGGCTCCTTAACCTCTTCCATAAATGGTGTAAAAATAATTTGACATCCTTACTACATAAGGGAAAAAAAGAACTTCGACCATACCTGATCAAATATGAGGGGCATCAACAAGTCTGTGGATAAATGGAGTTACACGATAGTGGAATTTTTATATCATTTATGGACTTCACTCGTATACATAGATTAACTTGGAAAGGATCACAGGCCCAAGTGTAAGCACTAAAACTATAAAGCTTCTAGAAGAAAGAAATCTTTGTGACCCTGAGTTAGGCACAGGTTTTGTAGAAAAGCAGTATTATAAAAGACAAAATTGGTAAATTGAGCTACTCCAACATTTTAGATGGCTGCTATTCAAAAGACACTGTTAGGTAAGCAGGCCACATTGTATAATGTGAAACTTATACTGGCAGAACATATGCTCATGAATTCGATTCCAGAATACATACGGAACTTTTACAACTCTTGTATGAAAATTTGCCCCCCAAACTAGACCGCATACTTGACCAAAGAAGAAAGATTGATGACCAGAAGCATTATGCGACATGAAAGAAGCCAGATGTAAATTAGCGCATGCTGTGTGATTCCATATATATGGAATATTCCTGAACAGGAAAAACCAAAGATCAGAAGTTGCCAAGGGGAGGAGAGTTGGCTGTAGACGAGCGTAGAGTGAAGCGCCGCAGAGACGAGTCCTGTGAGGCACAGGGGCGCTTGATCTGGAAATGCCTCACAAAGTTCCTGCTTTGAGTTTTGCTTGGGGCTGGAGGCAGACATGCTCTGAGGGAGGGCTTTGCAGGCAAAGGGCAGCAAGTGGCAAGCTGCCTGTAACATCCTATCCACGGGAGCCGAGTCTTGCTGGAGCCTGGAGCCCGGAGATTTGTGTTGAAGTGGCAGAGAGAGCAAAAGGTAGAATGTTTCTCACAACTGTTTATTAAATTCCCATTGCAAGAGAAACCACGTATACAAGAGAGAGAGGATAGCTCCCATGTGGATGACCGAGGAGATGGACGTTTCCTCCTTTCCTTTGGCTTAAAAATAGAAATTCTTGCTTTCAGAACCAAGTGGTTTAAAACAATTTTTTCCCCATTTGTGAGGAGATTTCAGCTGAATTTGTGTAATTAAGGACATATGTGTTCATTCTGATTTTAAAGGAGAAAGTAAATTTTAATGTTTGAAAAAGTCTTGAATGCCAGCACTTCAGTTGCCATCTGGGGAGAAATGCTGAGACGAGCCACATGTGGTGTGCTTTCAAACAAATGACTGGTTTCTTGGCACCAACCAGGAGCTACATAGCGCCTACGCACACTACCCTTAGAAAAGGAGACGGGAAGCCTATTGAAACTGCTTATTGGCTCCAGCTATTTGTATGGCATTCTTGAACCTCACTCCCTTCGGTGATGCAGGGGAATGTATGAGTGTGCATGATGGGGCAGGTGCATAGAAAGAAGTTTGGCTAATGAATGCAACAGCAGATTTTGAAGGCTTTGCTCTAAAATGGAATGCTTTCTTGTGATTTACAGGCATTGGATTTTGAAGGCTGGGCTGACAGCCTTTTCCTTCTACAGTTCACCCTCTCCTGTGTGATGGGGTAAGCATTTGCTGCCTTCTTAGCAATAGTTTTCTTAGCGAAATTGTGTTGCAATGAGTATCCCCTACCAAATGAGTGGGACTGTGCACGGAAACTGCTTGTGGCCCACCATGTGTGTTGGACAGCTTGCCCATAAGACCAGTAAGGTGCGTGGAACCCTATGGGATGAGGACCATGAAAAAGAGGTGGATGGAACCCTACTGAGGGGATTGGTGAGTTTTGCCATCCCAATAGGCTTAAAAGAAGTGATGCTAGAGCCCAGACAGAGGAGAACCTAATAGGCACTAAGAGAGAAGACCTGGCAGTGGAGCATGCTTTTTTAACCCACAATTCCTACACTGAGCTCCTCCTAGATCCAGGAGACAGAGGCAAAGTGAGCTGTACCATGTGAGACAGCAAGAGACTGCAGCACAGCAGTAGCAAGATTGAATCTAGCATGTGAGACAGCAAGAATGAAGAGACCAACCAAGACAGGTGTGGTGGGATGTACTGACCCTTAGAGCCATGAGAAGGCCTCACAAGATGTGGCAGTGGAGGATCCTAGCAGAGTCCAGCACAAAGGACAAGAAGCTGTCATACCAAGGAACTGCCTCCTGAGTCGGTCCTGCTACTACCTTAATAAACCACTTGACTAAAAGTACAGTTAATAATGAGTTCTGCGAGTAGTTGCAGGGAGTTACCAGTCCCAAAACTGGGAGGAAGAATAGGGGTGGGGGTGGGGGTGGGAGTAGCTGATGTTAAAGGTGATGGAGTGGTAGCTCAGGGTGGAGAAGTGAGACATTTGGGACACAGGAACCAGCTCTGTGGTGATCCTTACAGAAGAGGCTATTCATTTAGTTAGTATCCACGCAGTGCAGTGGCCCACACTCACAGGAATGTGTGGTTTGGGAAAAAAGGTAATGAGAACATTTTGGCTTTTGTTTGGATAAAAAAAACCCATAGATTGAAGCAGCTTTTATGTTCCAATCAGTTACTCAAAGCAAAAGCTCTTCATAGGAAGGTAGGAGTTAGTTTAACGCCTAAGGAATTGCCTAGTTGGACGCATGATAAGGAAAGGATGCTAGGAGCCCTGGTAGTGGAGTGGGTTACACATTGGTCTGCCAACTAGAGGGTCATCCGTTCAAAGTCACCAGCCTGTCCTAAGGAGAAAGATGAGTTTTTCTACTCCTCTAAAGATTTACAGTCTCAGAAACCCACAGGGGAGATTCTACTCTGTTCTATAGGGCCAATGTAAGTCAGAATCAACTGGATGGCCGCAAGTGGTTTTCTGTGTGTGTGTTTTTGGTCTTGTATCCCTACCTGTTAGGAAGCAAGCACATTGTCCACATTTACACAATTACTATGTGGCGCTTGTGCTGTCTTAAGTAGCATTCTCTATGTCCAGGCTCTGATATACACTGCAACGCCTACACAAAAACCACAGGCAAGATGTATGACTAAAGTGTTTCTTTCAGAAGTGAACCGGTTGTAATGCAAGTGAGAAATGTTTAGGCTAGAGTTGCTCATTAGGTAAGGTGACCAGACGTCCTGCTTTTGGCAGGACAGTCCAGATTTTTAACAATTTTTCCCGCATCCCATGGCATTTTAAGAAAAGTCCTGATTTTTGGAAAGAATGCATGACAAGCTAGGGTATACGGGTTTTCGGCTGCCATGTGGCTATTTTGCCAGGATATGAGTTTTATCAATGGTGTCCCGCTTTTGTCCCGCATTACCAATGTTAAAATCTGGTCACCTTATCATTAGGGCATGTTACAAAGTTCTTTCAGGGCGGGAGGGGAAAATGAGCTGATACCAAGGGCTCAAGTAGAAAGAAAATGTTTTGAAAGTGATGATGGCAACTTATGTACAAATGTGCTTGACACAATGGATGGATGTATGGATTGTGATAAGAGCTGTATGAGCCCCAATAAAATGATTTAAAAGAAAAAAAAGTTCTTTCAGGAATGCCAATAGATGCCCAAAGGCCAATCCACTGTGTGCTTGAACCCAGAGGCATTCAGCTCCAGCTTCTGTGGGTCAGTAAACCCAGCTCCCTGAATTAAGTGCCCAGAGGCACCTGACTCATGTAAGCCTCTGCCTGAAGGCATTCTGCTCCACTTCCATGCGTCAGCAAGGCCAGCTTCCTCGGTGAAGGGCCCAGAAGCACCCCACTCCACAAGCCGCCTCCTGCCCCAAAGCATTCAGCGCGCTTGCTCTGTGAGCGGGGGAGTCCGCCACTCTGTTCTTGCTCTGACTTCTGCTTCTGTTGCTGCTTCGCTCACGTTTATCGCTGTCTGCTGCCTCTGGTTGGCAATGAGATCCGTCCTCCTGCTTCTCAGAGGGCTCCCTTTGTGTACAGTAGGATGGCACTCCAGGAAATCCTCATAGAAACCACGCACAGGTGAATCCTATCAAGTGTCTTCACCTGCCCCACCCCCATTTCTTACCAGACTCGTTCTGGTCATTTGTAGGCAAGGTCATTTGGTGGAAGTTAGGGACTTTGGCTAGAAGAAACTCACCGTCACCGTCGATGCAGACGCCTAGCGATCCTAATGAAGAGTAGAACGGCCCTGTGGGTTTCGGAGACGCTAGCCCTTTAAGGCAGTTGTTCTCAACCGTCCTATTGCTGCGACCCTTTAATACAAATACGGTTTCTCATGTGGTGGTGACCCCCCCAACCGTACAATTATTTTCATTGCTACGTCATAACTGTCATTTTGCTAGTGTTATGAATCGGGCGACCCCCAAAGGGGTCGCAACCCACAGGTTGAGAACTGCTGCTTTAAGGCGTAGAAAGCCTGGTCTTTCTCCTGTGGAGCCCCTAGAGGATCTTGTAGTTAGGAGACCAATGAGTAATCTCCTCTACCAGGGCTCCTATCACTTTCCTTATCCCCCTGTATTTAAGAGTCCCATGAACTAACTCACTGCCCGTGCAGCATTGTCAGCATTCAAAGTTAAGACTTTCTTTCCCTCTCCCATGCCATCGTCCTGCTCAGAGAGCAGAGGTAGTAGGCAAAAGGCTACCTGCAAACAGCCTCTTCTCACGTCCCTGTGACTTCGCTCACGCACTCCCTCCCTCAGTCTGCGGTCCCACTGCTCTTTGGAAGTGGGTCTGGCACAGGCTCACCACACAGTGAGCGGGGCCCTCAAGAGAGAGTTGACATGCGGGTTGGTATTGAGTTCGTCTCTGCAAATCTGGGAGTTTCAACTGCTAAGGCTTTGCTGTCAAGTGAACTTGTATTCCTTCTTAAAATCAGTTTGAATTTGACCGATCTCTTATCTGAACTGGAGTCTGTGAGCCCCGACCTTTCTGTGGTTTAAGTGAATGAGTAGGAAGCATACTCTGAAATGCGTGGTAAAGTGGAGGAGCAGCAAAAAAGAGGCAGGCCCTCAACAAGGATTGATACCGTGACTGCAGTAACGGGCTCCGGCATAGGGACACTTGTCAGGATGGTGCAGGACGGGCAGTGTTTTCTCTTCTGCGTAAGCGTCCCTGTGGGTTGGAACTGACTGGGTGGGACCTAACAACAGTGTCCCTCCCGCAAAGTACTGATGATTATGAATGGTGCTTTTCAGGATTTAGGTGAGTGTAGCAGGGGAAACCACATCTGGTCAGAAATGGAGATGTGTTTGTGTTAACTTTTTTAAAATCGTAGACATTGCATTCTTTGAACTGCAATACAAGTAGCAGGGAGCAGGTTGAAGCACACGGGGGTTAGTGACTAGCCTGTGCCTTCACTGGCGAATACACAACGATTCTAATGGTCAGAGTTTCTTATATAAAGTATATGCTGGCTCTTACTTACAAGATGCCTCCCCTTTCTTCACTACAGGTTTGTCTTGATGTATGCCACAGTACTCTGCACTCAGTATAATTCTGCTCTGACAACTACAATAGTTGGCTGTATCAAGGTGAGTTTAAAGACTGCCTTGTTCTCGTGTCTGTCTGAAAATTGTTTCCCTCAAATAAGAAACTGGTCGTGCTTTTTAGCTCTGCAATCCTTATGTTCTCACCTGACGTCTCGAGAGTGTGGCAAAGTGCAACGCTGGTTTCTGAGATCATCTTGGAGAACCTGGGAAGGTATCCACTCTGCCTTCAGGCAGCTGAGTGCTGGGGAGTGTGCGAAAAGGAGAATGTTATCTCAGAGTTGAGGAAGAATAAAGATTAACCTGGTATGTGACCAGGCTTGGTAGTAATTCACTAGCTCCTTTAACCTCAAAGAAGAATTGTGCTCTGTTCACTGCATCGCTGAATTCTTGTTGTTGTGTCAGGGAAGGATACCTGCCGGAAGTCAGTCAAGGGAGTTTCCCTATGTCGGAGCCAACAAGTTAAACTGCCCATTTAAAAAATATGTGTCTACAGTCTCAATTACGTCATTTCCCCTTGATCTGTTTCACTTGAGGGAGGCTCATTTGTCTCCAGCGAGAAGAGCCAAATCAATATTGAGCTGGAGTTAGTGCCTTGAAGCCTGAGACTCTTTCATCTGGCTTCTGTGATTCTGGGACATTTAGAGCCAAGAGGCCAAAGCACCCCTTAATTTCAAATGAATTAACGAAGTAGGTTTGCTTTCTAAAAATGGCAAGATAGAGGGCGGTGGGGGAGCTATTGGTCATTGAGCTAAAGGATGTGATAAGCCCTTACTGTTCTATCATGTCAATCAATGCTGAAGGAGGGGACCTCTGGGGACATCTGGTCGATCTATATAATATAATCCATAAAGACATTGTTCTATGCCCTATGTTGGTAAGTAGCAACTGGAGTCTTTAAAGCTTTGGAGTGGCCATCTAGGATAGAACTACTGGTCTCTTCCTGACTGGAGCAAAGAAAAGGGATATAACTTAAAGACTCAAGGATACACCTAGTGCAAAGAACTCCTGGATCATGTGAACCACAGCCTCCACTAGCTTGAGATCAGAAGAAATAGAGGGTGCCCAGCTACCACTGCCCACTTCTCTGATTAGGATCACAATAGAAGACCATGGATGGGGGTGGGGGTGTGTAGAACAGAATGCAGTCATGAACTAGACTCTGAGACTAGGGCTTTCTAGGTATTCTTCAAACCTGGAGTTGAACTCACTCCCAGAGATCACTTCTGAGTCAGACAGTAGGTGTTTCAAGTGAACTGTAACACCTGTGAGAACCTTTCTCCGCAGAACAACCATCTGAAGCCAATAAGAGCACACCTGCCCAGAAGTAAATTTCAGAAGGCAAGAAGCGATAGGAGAGATGGGCACGTGGAATGGGGGAACCCAGGGAGGAAGTGGGAAGAGTGCTGTTTTATTGAGGGGATTACAACTAAGGCCCCAAAACAAAATGCAGAATGTGTATAGGTTGTTCAGTGGGAAACTAACATCCTCAGTCAACTTACACCAAACCACAGTAAGCTGTCCCAAAAGAAATGAACGGTGAGGGAGACGTTACAAAGGTAAAGTTTTTACTACTCCGTTGTGTTTCCTCTCCAGGGTTCCAAGGGGAGTGGTGTCTACCTGACTTCATTTTAGAAGCTCAATTTAGGTTAAAATGTCTGGCCTGTGACTTCATATCACTGAATTAAAATGGTTTGTGTGAATCAGATTCTAAATTAAGCTATAACAAGTCAATTGTGTGAATTGTCCAGAAAGCTAAAAAAAAATCTGCCTTCTGGACTGGGCTGGCTGAGCCAGTGTTAGTCCCTAAATTAGCTTTCAGCTGTGTTTTGGTTTTGCAAAGTAATTGCTTCAAGAGCTTAGTGGTTGCATGCATCTTCAGAATGCGAGCAGCGAGGCCATGAGAAATGGGGCAGTTGGTAGCACATTCTTAACCAAGCAAGAGCGTGGTACAGGAAAGTCTGTGCTTCATTTAGTAAAATAAATGTGCTTGGGGTCTCCCAGTGTTCATACTTGTACCGTGACCAGTCTCAGGTACAGATGCCATCATTTTCTCACGGGAAGTCCAGTCCCATTTCCTTGTGCCCTGCTCTCCACAGTAGTGCAGGAACCCAGGGAACTTATTCAATCTAAGGCAGTTTGTTTTTTTAAAATAGAAAATTTTTAATTTTTAGAAATTAACCAATAAACTTAAAAACATACAGTATAGAAGAAATCACACTATAAATTAGAAAATATTCCTACCCAAATTAAAGGGATCATTTTTACTTCCAACTCTAAAACCAAAAAGCAGACCGACGGCCATTGAGTCCATTCTGACTTCTAGCGGCCTCCATTTTGGGTTGTCCAAGACTGCAATTCTTGATGGGAGCACATAGCCTTATCTTTCTCCCTCGAGGGACAGGTGGGTTGGGCCCCTGGGTCAAATGACGTTGGAGTTAGCACTCCGCTGCTTGTCTCATAGCAACAGTCCCCAAGGGAGGGAAAAACATGTTGTGTAGATCACTATCGCTATTGCTTCTTACTGCCAAATGCTGTCACTGTTCAAGGATGTCTTGCACCTTCAAGACAAATGGGAGTGGTTGGTAGCCCTTGCTGTTTCAGATTCTTACATGTCTCAGCGGAGTTCCTTACATCAGCCTTAGTTATCCAATGGTGCTCTAACAGAATTTCCACAAATGGGTGGCTTTAACAAACAAATGTATTTTCTCATGCTTCAGGAGAAAGTTCAAATTCGCTCTATGTCTCCTACGGTGCCATTATGACCTCCTGCTGATAGTCTCCCTCATCTGCATGATGTGCCTTTGTCCTGTTTGAGACTTAATGAATGTTCTTAAATTATTCTTAGTGTGGGTGTCTCTTTCATACCCTAAAACAGGCTTTTAACCCATTGCAGCCCCAGGGTTCCTTAAGGTATAGTGCTTCCAGGTTGGCTGCTAACTGCCAGCCACTCTGGGAAAAGAGGAGGCTTTCTTCTCCACAGGGCAGTTCTGCCCTGTCCTACAGGACCCCCGTGGAGAGCGGGATCTTGATGAATTCCCAGAGGTCTGCAGAATTGATCACGCTTTGGGTTTTTTTCTGGCAGCTGCCGGAAACTCCCCCTCCTTGGAATGTACCCTCGGTATCGGAGCCAGTGCTGTCTGTCACATTGTTCATGTAAAATTTGAGATAAGGAATCAGCCTGGAGGCACTGATACACACAAAAATATAGATTGCATTCCGGGTTGTGAAGGCAAAAAACTTTGGATAAAAATGTGTAGTATACTGATTCCCAGAAAAGTATAAAAAATGTGGCCATAAGAGAAAAGGTTGCTATGGAGATTTATCCCACTGACCTTCCAGATCTATCAAGAAAACTTAAGGTGATTCTCACTCCCCTCTGATGAGTTACAGCGGCTGCTGGGCAGACCCTTTGCTCAGTTTCCCCACGAGTAGGAATCAGCTAAATCACAATGAGGTTTGGAAAGCCAGTGTTTGTTATCAGGTGCTTCTGTTCTTAGCCTCTCAAACATTTGCTGTGTGGAAGGCTCCAGTCTACACAGGAATCCCTAACTCCATTTCGAGTCTTGAACAGTTCAACACCATTTAGTTCTTTGTTATTTGTGTCGTGCGTGCTCCCCATCAAACCAGCAATGTAGCTGTGCTTAGATAAATCAGGGGCACGCCTGGGAAGGGGCAGTGTGTCTTCTGGAAGAGGGGCTTAGAATCGATGAGCTAGAATGCATAAAGGGCTCCCCTACTTCCCGGGGCGTTTGCAGCAAGTACTCACAGAAAGAACTAGCAAACTTCCCCGAGCATGAACGGAGAGGGGCTATTCAGATGCATGTTGCGAAGTGAAAATTCCTGGAGATTTTGACTCCAGGTGGAATGATCATACCCTGTGAAAATGAAGTTAAGTTTACACCTTCCACTGCAGTCCCAAGAGGTAGCTGACAGGCTTGGCAATGAGCAGAGGACTGTCACGCAATGGGACAAAAGAGCAAGGTTGCAGGAAAACAGTTTATATTTCCCCAAGGAATTATCAGACCATTGATCAAAATCTTCATTACTCCTGTGAAGTACTTCCAGAGGGCTTCGGCCTCCCTGCTTATGTAAACTGCCCTGCTCCCCCTTTCCTGAAGATGCGGATCTGGGAGTAATTGACAGGTTTTGCAACAGGCTTGAATAATTAACAGGCTTAAAAGAAATGTTTTACTATAGTGGAGGGGAAGCTGTTACATCTGGGTCCCTTAAAACAACCAACACCACCCACAAAAAAAGAAGAAATCTCAGGAGACCAGGTCCCAAACTATGTTTGATTTCTAGTGTTTGATTAACAGCAGGTTAACTCTTTCACCCCCCTTTATCACGTCCTGTGGACATGCGGTCAGGAAAGACTAGCCCCTGAAACAGGCCATCATGCCCGGTAAATAGAAGGCCAGTGAAAAGAGGTTCAAGGTGGAACTGCTAGCTTCCTGGGGTGGTTGACCTCGGTGCTTGCTTCTTGACACTGAAAGAATTCACGTGGCAGACGCACCTTTGTAGCTCCAAGTCACTTTCATGAGGGAAAAAGGGAAGTTTCAGGTATTACAGCCTGAGAAAGTACACACTATCTCTGGAAAGCATGCACGGCGGCATGGCAGGAGCCATGGGAAGGTTCACGACTGAAACGGAACCTAGACCACAAAAAGCCACGTGAAAGGAATGCCGGAACAGGAACGTGGAACCAGTGTGCAGAATCAGGAACCAAGAGCAGGGAAATTCCAAGAGAGCGAGTGGACACACAGGCGCATGCGCGTCCGCATGTGAGCTGACTCTCACCTCCGACCTGGAAAAGTGCTCCTGAACAAGAGAGTGGCCTGCCCTCAGTCTGGCATTTACCCGCTTCTATCCCCACTGACGGGGCGGCGAGGTTGAGGGTATTGGCCAACCTTATTGGCTGAGTTTAAGTGTACTTGTGTAATGTCCTGTCACTGGTGCCTAGCATTGTGTGTGGGCCTAGGTTGGATTTTCCCCATAGGTGTCTGATGGGTACCTGATTTCCTTGCAACCCCTTTATTGTGGCCCTGCCAGTCGATTTTCGCTAGCACGGGCTTTTGAAAAAAACAACCATCCTTTATCCCTAATCTAGCAACCTGTCGCATGGACACAGTGGCTGCAGCAGTGGGCTCAGACGTTTAAGAACAAGTGTGAGGAAGCGCAGGATCAGGCAGTGGTTCATTCTGGGTCCCTATGAGTTAGAACTTACTTGACACAGCTAACAGTGACCAAGGTCAGGGGCACTGCTGATGGGGCATGACTGTGACCCCTAGCACTGCTATCTCAGTCTAGAACACAGCCAGACAAGCCCCTAAGGGAGACTGCCGCTCCTGTGCTAATGAGTGGGAGCAGAGGTAATCCATTGTCCAGGGCATTGAGTGGAGGGCAAGGCTATTTGTGCCCTTGATCCGTGGGCAGAAGGAATTCAATGGAAACTTAATCCGTGGGAGGACTCTGCAGGTGGATTTTGGGCTTTCACTGTGATTCATAACCTGCAAATGTTCAGAAATTAAGCTCTATACAGCTGTGAGCTGCTGAGGGATAAGCCCGCAGTTTGAATCCACCAGCCCCTCTGAGGGAGAAAGGTGAGGCTGTCTGCTCCTGTAAAGATTTCCAGCCTCCGAAACCCGTGGGGCTGTTCTCATCCGCCCGGTAGAGTCATCCGGACCCTCTTTATTGAAGAACTTTCTGATTTGTGGCAGCAGGGTCCTCTGCCCCTTCCCACTCTGAATTTCTATACAGTGCAATGCACATGAATCCAGCCTCGCTTTAGACACACTGCATTCAAAGGGGCAGCTTTTTCTCCTCTTAGAAAACACCAGCAAGGGGTCCTTTGACCTTATTTGCCCACTAGCCTTAATTGCTGTTGGAGGAGGATATTTAATTTCCTCCTGTAATCAGTAAGAAAATCTGTTCTAAGGCAACAAGTAGTCTCCACCCTTAGACCTAGCAGAAGCTAGTGTGTTTGAGAATGCTTTTCGAAGGGGATCTCATAACTTTTTTGAAGTGTTTTTTTTGGGGGGGCGGGGTTAAAGAAATACTCTAGCACTTTACTTTCTGCCTTGCAGATCCGTCTGCCAGAGTCCAGGTCTCAACCTGTTTGACATTGATGTGTATGGCGGTCAGAGCAGAGAGGAAGTGATGTTTGAGGGAAGGTTGGGGAAGAATGGAATCATAGTTCAGACTTAGGAAACTGTTGCCTGATGATCAAGAGTCAAGAGAGGTGGCTTTTATTTTGATATAATGCTTACAAATGACTTCCCCATTAAAGCGCCAGAAAAGAATCTTTAAAAAATAGTTATCGTGCTGATAAAGCTTCCAGCACGCCCCCTTTTCCTCCTTCGACACCAGAAAGATGCTTGCATGTGCTCACTCTCCCTTCTGCTCTCCCCAGGCAGCAGTTGGCCTGTGCAAGGGGAAGCGCGGAGGGCGGCAGAGTGTGTAGTGCTTCTCTCTCCAGATCTGCTGAGCGAAGCATTTGCTTTCTAGGAAGACAGCTTGCCAAGGGGCTGATACTATTACTCCTTTGCGAGAATTCATGATCTTACCACCTGCATTTTAAGTTCTGTTGGTTTTTATTGTTATTGCCTGTTGACTGGTTTTGTTTGTTTGTTTGTTTTTTCATTTTGAGAATGTCTGATGTTTTGGGGTTTTTTTTAATCATTTTATTAGGGGCTCATACAACTCTTATCACAATCCATACACACATCAATTGTGTAAAGCGCATTCGTACATTCATTGCTCTCATCATTCTCAAAACATTTCCTTTCCACTTAAGCCCCTGGCATTAGGTCCTCATTTTTCCCCTCCCTCCCCGCTCCCCCCTCCCTCATGAGCCCTTGATAATTTATAAATCATTATTTTGTCATATCTTGCCCTGTCCGACGTCTGACTGGTTTTGTATTTTAAGGACAAGTGTGGGTGACTTAAGGACCAGGTCACTTGGTGTATGTGAGTCTAAGTGCATAATTAAAAGTTCATTTAAACTTATGCAACGATATACTGTGCTTCTTTTTCAGAATATATTAATAACTTATATTGGAATGGTCTTTGGTGGAGATTATATTTTCACTTGGACAAACTTCATTGGATTAAATATCAGGTAAGTGAACATAGTTCAACGGGGCCAGTTTAACAAGTGGGGTTTGGATACATAAATGCTGTCATCAAAGGTTGGGCTACCAACACAGGGCAGATTGGTTCAATTATTAAAGGAGCATTTAAAAACCACTTACTATGTGCTAGGTAACATCTCTGCATGAATTGCATTTAAGAAAGCGGGAGAACTCTGTGCACAGTATTTTGGGCTGCTTTTTTAGCCTCCAGAGAATAGGCCCTTTGTACTAGATGACTGTGTGTTGTTCTCCAGGAAACTCATCGCTCCTGCTAGCTCGATTAGAAGTGGTACAGGTGTGCCCTCCCTTGAACATGTTACTTCATTTCTGTAGACCTCGTTTGTCTTCATCAGGGCCGCGGTGAATGTGTTACTGCACAGATCTTAACTTTGAATATTTAAATGGTCTTAAATCCTGATTTATGGCTCAGCTCTCATTCTCCTAACAGTCTTTTGTGAAGAACAAACATAAAATTTTGATTAAGTCTGATTTATCGATTTTTTTCTTTTGTGAGTTGTGCTTTTATCTTGGCTAAGATCCTTTTGCCTACTCCAAGGCCACAAAGATGTCCTCTTAAATTTTCTCTTAATGGTTTTATTGTTTTAGGCTTCACAATTAAGTGTATAACTTATGTGGTAATAATTTTTGCACATGCTGTGAAGTCTTTTTAAGGAATAAAGTTATTTTTCTGTTGCTTTAAAAACAGTCATTTGTCCCAGAATTTTTTGTTGAAAATTCAGTTCCTTCGCCACTGAATTGTTTCGTTCCTACTACACTCTTTTGAGGTTCTTTCATTATCAGTTTCCTGGTTGAGGAGCTTCGAGAGTTCTGCAAGGAGTACCAGAGCTGCTTCTTTGTGCCAGTATTGTGCTGAGTGCAGGGGTTCGCAGCCTGCCTGATGCCGCGACCCCTTAATCCAGTGCCTCGTGTGGTGGTGGGCCCCAACCATAACATTATTTTCATCGTTACTTCATAGCTGTAATTTTGCTACTGTTATACATCGTCATGTAAATATCTTGATATGTAGGATGTATTTTCATTATTACAAAGTGAACATAAAGCACAGTGATGAATCACAAAACAATATGTAATTATATATTGTGAAATACTTATTTCTAATTACAAATGAATGAAATTTGTCTTGAAGCATGGTGTAGCATGGGTAATAGTCTTCACGCAAGATGCTCGTATGTGGGCGAATCTGCATGTAGGCGGACCCGCCTGGAGCCGGATAGAGGAGCGGTGTCTCGGTTCCCAAGACCATCGGAAATATGTGTTTTCCGATGGTCTTCGGCAACCCCTGTGAAAGGGTTGTTTGACCCCCAAAGGGGTCACGACCCACAGGTTGACAACCACTGTCTTAAAGGGACATGCTGTCCCGCAGAGATCTGTCATGGTCACAGCGCTAATAATTCTTGGTGGGAGGATCTTAACCCTGGTGGGTTGGACTCCAAAGCCCAAGTTCTTGCCCTTAATCTTTGTGTATGTGCGCATGTGACATTCGTTTTGCATACCTTACAATTCAGTGGCTTAAATATATTACAAAGTTGTACACTCGTTACCACAGTTTTAGAACGTGTTTTCATTCTTGTTATCATTAGCTTCCCATTTCCCCTCAGTCAGCCCTCGCTGTGTTGTGCAGTGCCATCAAGTGGACTCTGACTTACGACAACCACGCGTGACAGAAGGGGGTGTTGCCTGGTCCTGCACCATCTTTGTGACGTTCGCATGTCTGAGTCCATGATTGCAGCTACTGTGTGGTGCGCCAGCGCTGTCTTGAACTGCTGTGATATGTAGGGTTTCATTGCTTGATTTGTAGACGCAGATTGCCAGGCCTCTGGGGAAGTGTGTTCCATGGTTGGCCATCCTGGTATTTTCAATCCTGGTGGCATAGCTTCTAGCATGATAGCAGCACACAAGCCACCACCATGAAAAACTGACAGGGAAGTGGTGGCTCAATCATTTATCTTTCAGTAAACTATTGAATGAGTATTGTGTAGTCTAGTAGCTTATATACAATATGTATCTATCAGTGCTGTAGTCTTTGGGGGAAGAATTAAAACAGCAACAATAACAATCTGACACCAAATTCACTGTCATCAAGTTCATTCCAACTCCTAGCAACCTTATAGGACATGGTAGGACTGCCCCTGTGCAGTTCTAAGACTAACTCTTTATGGGAATAGGAAGCCTCGGCTTTCTGCAGTGGAGTGGCTGGTGGTTTTGAACTACTAACCTTGCGCTTAGCAGTCCAGTGGGTTACCACTCTGCCACAAGGGCTCCTTTGATCAGGGAAGTGTAGGATTAGAGAGAGAGCAATATGACCTTCAGAAGTGTGTAGAGGGAGGCAGACGGTATGTAGAGAAACAATGGCTTCACATTTTGATATAATGAAGATCTCTTAAGATTTTGTAGCAGTACTTTACTTAGCCTCATATGTTGGTGCCTGACCCATAATAGACATTTAGTAGTAATAAAATACTAGCCAGTGTTTCATCTTACCTTGTATCAAGAATTGTCCTAAGTACTCCATAATTAATCTTTACCACAGTCCTAAGATAGGTACCATAGATATTCCATTTCACAGAGGCGCTACGAAATGTGCTTTATTTGCTGAGCAGGTACATGGCTGATCCATGATTTTTCTTATTAGTCTTCATTCTTAACCATAATGCTGTCTAATCAGTGGTGAAGAGATTAATTTTATTTTTATATCCCTTCATCATAGATTACATAAAATATACTTTTAAGCCAGCCTCCTGTGTGTAAAAACCTTTTCACGATAGCCTCTGAGACCAGGCCTCACACAGGGTACACACAATCTCTGGGCTGGGACGTGCTGCAGCTCTGCATCTAGCTCCACAGTGGCTATCTAAGAATTTTGGTCTAGCTACCACGGCCCAGCCACATGAATCCACAGTTTTCTCATTAAGAATTCCCTTGCCTTTTCCTTAGAAGTATGTGTACATCTTAGTTCCAGTTTGCTTCTCCTCATTTTGACTCAGTCAAGATCCTGTGTACATTTGCTCTGCTAGCAGACCCTCATCTGGTTAGTCTTCTCCTGAAATAAGGGCATAAACTTTCCCTTTGATCCATCATTCTCAGTCAGTGAGCAAGTGAGTGAATGAGTGAGGAGAAAAGGAAATGCTTGTTTCTAGTTGTTTTTGATAAAATACTTACCAGGCCATTGATAGAGTGTGCAGCTGGCATTTTACTGGAACACCTTGACTAGAATATGATTTAAATATCATCTGTGATTGCTGCTGACAGACTCGTGCCAGTGGCCATTGGGTTGATTGTGACATTCACTCCCTGTGTGCCCCATCCAGCGGATGGTTTCTCAGAAGTAGGCGGCCAGGTCATTCTTCCATGGCACCTGTGTGGAGTCAAGCCACCATCCTTTTGGCTAGTAGCCAAACACGTAACCCTTTAAACCACCCTACCCAGAGAATGATACTAGCTAGTTATAATTCAACCTGTTTTCTTAGCTACAAAATGCAGTGTTTGAACTAGAGTTGTTTATCCTAATTGTGCCATGTGATTTACCTCAAAGTCCTGTGAAAAGTGTATTCTGCGATCAGTAGTAGGTCTGCAGTTATTTTGCAACTGATGCTATCTTGCAGTCCTGTGACATCTGAAAGAAATTTCCTTCAGCTGTGGAGAATCCCTAAAATGCATTTCTCCTTTTAATTCTGACTAGACTACACAATTCAGATTTTTTTTAAGATGTAGAAAATAAGGAACTCAGAAGAAGAGAAAATGATGGAGATGGTTGAGTAGCTTGGGCTCAGCCCCAAGTTGAGGAAATAGTTAAGAAAAAGAGCTGTTTCCAAATGTGTAAGGGCATATCCTTACCCCCAAACTAACAACAATAATATTACATAGGAAATAGCCTATGGAGCTGGATTGTATAGAGAAGCAAAACTAAAGGCACTATATATTTAAAGAGGGGGAATTTATATTAAGAAAATGGCGCAACATTGTAGAAGTGGTTAAGCCCAACCCTATTCAAGTCCGAGGGTCAGTTGTTAAGCCTGGAGGAGAGGCTGATGATCCGGGAAGCAGGAAAAGCCAGCAGGAAGCCCATGGCTGGTGCATGCAGAGACTGATGAACCGAGGGTCAGCGGGTCCGATGGAAGCTCTGACGAATCCAAGGTCAGCAGGCTGAAAGGCAGGCCATTGGCTCAAGTCCAGAGAACTAGAGGTCAGTGAGCTAGATCCAGGATTCAGACCCAGCAAGAAGCAATCAGGTTCTCCATGGAGTCCACTTATATAAGTAGGCCACCTGAGGACATTTCTTGAGGACCTTGACTTGAATTAAGAGGGTTCCACACACACACACACCCCCCCCCCCTTCTTAGAACTGATGTTCACAACAGATGCCATAATGGAGTTGATTACACTCTTAGGTCCCATCATAGGGGATTGCTAGGCCTTCACTGCCAAGCTACTGAGCATACTGGCCAAGTTATCACAGGGAGCCTGGGGGGTGGGGAGGTGAGCAGTTTTTATTTTCCCCACCCCCATAATTTTTATCTAGCTCATTCTTTAAAAACCCAAATGTGTACCAAGGCCTTGCCAGAATTCGTAGGGTGTTTGCTTTCATAGCATTTATTTTTTTAAAGGATTTTAAGTTCCAAAAAACATATAACAGGATTTGAGAGCCTTTTGCTTTTTGCTCATATTTACTCCTGGGAATCTTCCTATGCAGATAGAAGGGTTCACCTTCTGGCAGACTTCTGTGAGTAACTGATTTTATTTTTAAAGTATGAGCACAGACCAAGCACTTACCATTGTAGAGAGAGGACAAAGTAGTATCTGGGAAGGCAGCAGGCCGAGTGCCAGTGTCTTCTGGGTACCCAGTGTTTGATGCTAACTCTTATGATGCCCTTTCATGTCGTCATTCCCAGTTCATAGGACAACACAATTGAGGCTCAGAGGTGAAAGATCATGATCAAGGTCAAGCAGCCAGGAACACAGTTGTCGA